AAAAAAAAAAAGCTTTCTCATGTACTGTACATGAGAAAAATCTTTAAAGTTGAAACTATGTAAAACAATGCTACAGATTTATGGATACATACATATGGAGTACAAGTATAAAGGAATTTATGGAAATGATAAATTCTAAATTCAGAAAACCGGTTACAGGTGAGGGGAGGGAAGGGATACAGTCAGTTTATGGTAGTAAACAAGAACTTCAACCATATTGATAATGTTTTATTTTTAGACTGAGTAATGGACAAACATTTTGGGGGGCGTTTTTCTGCTGTTGCCAGGATTGCTTGAACCCTCATGTATGCTATGCAAGTGCTATACCACTGAGCTACATTGTACCCAGCTCCATAATATTCTTTTTATCCTCTTGTATGTGTCTTAAAATATCAAAGATTTGAAAACTAGAGGTAGCAGGGGTGGGGGACATAAAAAGAAAAATATATTGGCAGGTCATTTAATTCAGGATTTTTAAACTCCTAATCATATCTGGGTCTATTAATAAAGTGATTGTTTTCAGTTAAATAGTAAGATGACATGTTTTTTATTTTAATTTTATTTGTGTAATTTTAATTAATATAATTCTCCTATTTTTCTCTAGACCTTGGAAAGGAAATTGCTTATGATCATCTCTCAGAAAGATCCATATCACTCCTTTTTTCAACACTTCAGCTACAACCACATGATGGAAAAAGTTAGAAATTATGTGAATTGTGTGCTAAGTGAAAAATCATCAACTTTTCTAATGAAGGTATTTCAAGGATTCTAGCTTGGACATTAATAAAGGAAAACATTTCAAATAGAAACATTCATAACTAATCAGGATTTCACTTTGTAGAAGAATGTAAAATACTACTACAATTAGTGAACCTGAAAGGTCTACAGATGATCTATATAGGATTTTTTGCTACTTTTTGGTGGGGGGCAGTCAGTGCTAGAGATGGAGCCTTGAGCTTCTCACATGGTATGTAGGTATTCTACCCTGAGCTATACCTAGCCCTATAATTTTTCAGAATATTAGTTGGGAAAATTTTCAGACTAAAAGTTGAGAAGAAAAACAGTGAATTAAGAAATAACTGAAAATTAATTTTTGGTTTTAATTTAAGTGAATTTTCAATAAAATTTTAAACATTTTTAGGAAAAAAGTTTAGTTCAAGAAGGATTTTTTTTTCCTGAATTTTTATTTTTTCCAGTACTGGCGATTGAGCCCTGGGCCTTGTACATGATAGCCAAGTATTCCATCCCTGAGCTATGTGCCCAGCCCCTAACCCCCTTTATGGCAGTACCTGGGATGGATTTTAGGGCCTTCTCACTAAGCTACATCCCCCAACCTTTTTTTAGTTTTTTTGTTTGAGTCAAGTTCTCCCTAAGTCACTTAAGTTTCCCAGGATAAGTTGGAATTTGCAATCCTCAAGCCTCAACCTCTCAGAGTGCTGTGATAAACATGCCTGGTTTAACATTTTTTAAAAATAACATTTTTTTCTTGTCAACCTCATAGAAGTTAATTTGTTATTACAGTGGAACATCATACTTAGAGATGGTTTATTTTGGAATATCTGGAATTTTTTTAATCTTAAAATTTCCCATAAGCACTGTGTCTAAGGAAAGATCTCTATAGTTTTATAAACCAAACAGGTACCTAAAACAGTTACCAGCATTGTTAAAATTACTGATGAAAAATAATACCATGATATTCTTTATTGAGTGGTGAACAGATACTTTCAGCTATTCCTATCCAGTTAATAAAAGACTTAATTTAATGAGCTTCATTTAAACTGGCTTAACACATTATTTTCTCTCCCTCCTCTATGCACACACCTCTTTTTTAAGGCAGCAGCAAAAGTAGTGGGAAGTGAGAAAACAAGAATAATAACTTCTCAGGATAAACCTAGTGGTAATGATGAAACAGAAACAGAAGCTAATTTGGATAAAGGAAAAAGGTTTGTGAACTCATTAATTCTTTTTTGTCTTCTGAACGTTCATATTATGTAAAAGCAATGCTAGTGAGTCATTATTAGTAAAAATGTTTAATACTGTGTAAATATTTAATACTATGTTATCTTACTGATGAATGATATTTGGATATTTGAAGTACTATAGAGTTATTTCATGACTTGTAAAAATTATATATGCTGTGCAAAAACTAGGGAATGAGAAAATACAACCATTTAAATAATGTAAGTCATTTTATTTACTATTCTCAGCAAAAGTGGGCTTAGAAAACAAGATTTAGATTGGAAACTTGAATAATTCATGCCCCTTAGTTGTGCTCAGATCCCATATATCTTCATTATGTGATTCATTATGTATTAAGAATTATTGTTCATATATATTTTCTAAAAGTAGGCTAACAGCTCCATCTTAGCTAAAGAGATTTGCTTCACTGCTAGAGGAAAACAGGTTGTGTTACATATTGAATGACAGTAGTTGAGTCTCTATAAAGTTATTTTTTCTTTAGGAATTTTCAAGGGTAATTTTGTTTTTATCTTTTTGTAGTACTGCAGATTAAACCCATGATCTTGCACATTCTGGGCAAGCACTCTACTACCACTGAGGTACATCCCCAGCCTAAGGGTGATTTTTATCTTTTGCCAAATAAACTAGAACTCCAGCATTTAAAAGATCCTCTTTTCTATTAAACCCATGACCTGTTCTCTCTGTTCTTCTAACCAACCCAAGGTCAGATGGTAAAATCCGTGTGGTCTATGAATGGGTATATTTGGCACCAAGCATATCACTGTTTCCTCTTGGGACCCTGACTTGAGTGCTACAGGGAGCCTATCTTAACCATTTATTTAGAGGTGGAGATTAGGATCCAAAATCAATGTATACTACACTGAGTGTTTCCTCTTATTTTGCATGCCTGCAAGTCAGTGGTTCATCTCCCCTAAACACTATACTGGCTTCTGTTCTTAGAAGTTTTATTTCTCATTGATTCTGAAAAATAGAAATTTCATTTTATTGGCTCCATTACTTAATTTTGTTTTGAGACCCAATACATTCATGTAGCCATGCCTTCCTGCCCAATGTAATATTCCTATAAAATAAAATAAAAATTTATAGCATGGTTCTTGAAGATTAAGAAGATTAGGAATATATTTCCTATATTCTTTCCTTACATAATACCACCCATTATTTTCAGGTGCTCTCCTAGACACTGACATAGTGCAGTTAGTATAAAATATCTCTTCATATTCTCCTCTGCCTCTGTGTCTGCCTTTTCCTCACATACCTAGTAGTCTCTCCAAGTATTAGAATGCCATCTGAAAACTGCTTTCTGCAATTCATTTTTCTTAATCATGCATGTCCTAGATCATCACGTAGGTCTGTACTATACTACTCCATTCTAGTACAACTTCCAGAGTTAGCTTTCACAAAAGTCAATGTTTAGTTCACTTAGCTGAACTTTTTGGCTCCTGTTCTTATTAGATATGTCAGAATTTACTGATGTAGCATATAAAAGCCTTTCATGTCCTCGGATTTTTCCCCCCTTAGTTTTCACTTAAACATATTTTTACTTACAGCTATCAACAATGGTTCAGAAATATTTGACAGAAAATTCCAAAATTAATAAATGATAAGTTTTAAATTGTGTACCTTTTGAGTAGCTTTATGAAATCTCACGTTTGTGCTGCTCAGGATCTAAATCATGCTTTTGTCCATCACATTCCTTCTTAACCATCTCAGTTATCATTTGATATCTCAGTTGATATTTGGAATATTACAGTGCTTATTCAAGTAACCCTTATTTTACTTAATAATGGCCCAAACTAAAAAAGTAGGGATGTTGGCTGTTTGGATATATCACAGAAAACCCATAAAATGGAAATTTCCTTTAAGTGGAAAGGTGTGAAACTTACTGCCCTAATGAGGGAAGAAAAGTTTTGTATGTTGACCTTACTAAGCACTGTGAAATTGTGCAGGAAGAAAAATTATGTGAGTTTTGCTGACACCTCAAACTGCAGAAGGTACTGCAGTACTATCTAGTACTATCTAGTTTTGGGCTTCTACTGGGGGCCTTGGAACGTATCTCCCAGGTATAAAAGACTGCTGTATATAGAGTGCTTTAGGAATTGATATGTCACCTTTAGGTAGAGCATCTTTTCTGTTCATGTCTTCCACCCACATGTGTTTGTGTACTGAGGATCATATCCAGGTCCTTCTGCTAACCCGCATTCCCAGCATCCTGTCCCACCCACCCCCTTTTGAGATAGGGTCTTGCTGGACAAGTTGCCCAGGCTGGGCTTGAACTTGCAGTCTTCCTTCCTCAGCCTCTTAGAGTGCTGGGGTTACAGGTATGTACCATCACACCTGGCTCTACTCACAAATTTAGTAACCTTTTTCTTAACTAAGTACTTATCATGCACTATGGCAGTAAATTTGCAGTTTGATGTGCATTAGAAAAACTGGTATGAATTTCCTTTTCCTTCCTTCCTTCCATTTATTATGTCAGCACTATGAGTACTTGACTGCTGAGTATATCCCTGGCCCTTGGAGAATATATATGAGTGGTGTACACAGTGGTGAAGTCCTTGTATAGCATGTGGGATCCTAGGTTTGACCCGCAGCACTGCAAATAAAGTTGCAGTTTTTCAAAACGGTTACTTGAACACAAGCACTGGTAACATGTCCCTTGTAGGACAGGAGTTAGGATTTTATCACACCATATAGAAAGTGCAAAATTTATGAATTGTTTACTTGTGCAGCTTTCTATTTTATATTTTCAGGCTCTAGTGGACAGCTAGTAACTGAAATTTCAAAATTTAAAACTGGATGAGGGAAACCTCCACTCCATGTGATTTTGTATTATCCTTAGCTGCAAACATCCACTAGGGCTCTGAAACATACCCTCCAACAATAAATATTGCATGATTTCTTAGATGAGGAACCCAAAATATAAAGAGGGAAATAAAGGGGAGATAATAGTAGGGAAATAGCTCTTTCTCAAGGGGAAGAGATGGAGGGAGGGAGGAGGAAGAGGAAGAAATAGGAATGAAAAAAGAATTGATGTGTACGTACATGTATCATCTCCACACAGGGAATGTAAATGTGTTTTGCAAACATGACAAAAAAAGATCAGGAGCTAGATGGAAGGAGAAGGGAGGGAAGGGAAAGGGGATGAGAAAAGGAATTATGATGTTACGCATGTGTGCCTACTCTCCACAAGGAATGTAAACAATACGTACTACAATATGTATTAGTAGAAAGGGGGGAGACTACTCTCGCCATGCCCACATGCGTGATCCTTTGTAGCAACACAGAACCTCTCACTGACTTTTAAATACTTTTCTTTATAACCTTGCTTAGTACCTTCTATTTTGGACTCCCTTTTTATTTTTGTTTGTTTTTTCTTTCCTAGGAAAGCTCTTACTTGCTATTTGAGGTCTACCTCAAAGATGACCAATAGGAATTTTTGTCTTGCTAATCTATAGTATGCAAATGAAGCAAGCATAGCATCAGAAGTGTGATTGTGAGGTCCTACAAACGCCAGAAAAATAGAAAAAAATTAAAGCTTTCATTTATTAAGACTTAGTAAAATAAATATTTTGCTTAGCTAAGCTTATTGCCTGTTCAAGGCAGTCAGAATGATAGGCAGGAAACAAATGGTAGCAGACAATACATAATTTATTGTTAAAGTCCATAGATAAATTTAAATGCTGAAGGAACTGAGATAAACAGCCTCACTGAGAAGTTAGTTTTGAGAGGACATGAAGTGTAGTTATGATTTTTAGGAATGCGTGGAAAAGGAAATGTCATTTCAGGAAGGAATAAAATAATTGAAGGCATGGAGGTGCAAATAATCATGCTCTGTTTGTGGAAGCTATTTTAACTACATCAAAGGAAAATCTATTTAAAAGTTCACTTGGAGACTGATGAGTAAGACAAGAAATTAAAATTGAGCTCATTAACTGATATACATTAAATATACCCAGTGTGTTTGGCATATAAATTATACCTCAGTAAAGCTTTTAAATGAATACATGGAAATAATTGAAGAGTTTTTGAAACAGTGATATTGTGAATGTTCAATATTACAACCTTAGCTATGCTTAACTTCTGTCTGGGGAAGTTTGGTTTGTACCTATTGGAAGCATATCTGGGCAAAAATTAGCCATGTTGTAACCAGGCTATAGTCCTGAAGATTTTTTGTTTGTTTGTTTTGTTGGTACCAGGGATCGAACTTGGGTCCTTGTGTTTGCAAGGCAGCGAGCAGTCCAGAAGATTTTTTATGCGGAAAGTACTATCCTGATGCAAAGTGTCTTCTTTTTACAGTCTTACAACTTTTTCTTCTTCTTTTAAAGTGTTAATGACAGTCTGCCATAACTGAATCCTCAGACGGTAAAGTAACCTTATTGAGGTGATGTACATCGGCAGTTTTCTTCTCTGTCTTTAGACCTTAAATATATTCTTATAACTGCCATGTTAATGGTATGGTTAAAAATATCTCAGGATCTTGCTTACCTCCGTAGATACCCAAGATCTTGCTGTGTTGAAATTTCAAACTATAGAGTCCTTCTTCTGGGGGTCCTGGATTGTTTCACGTTGTTTATGCAAGGCCATTGTTGGAACAACATAGGGAGTACTTGAGTTTAAAGTACATGTTTAGTAAACTCTTACCCTATCATAGAAATAAGATGAAGGAGCAGGGGTTTACATTTAACATGTGTAGAGAGCCGAAGATCTGTGTGGATGATTTAAATAGAGTAGTTGGAATGCTAGGTAGAACCAGGGGAGGGGGTGCTAACTTGATATGGAGGAGATTGTTGGAGATGTGGATTTGATAAGCTAGGATTTTATATGGTTTGTTTAGGAAAACACTGGAGTAATTCATAATAGCAACACTTAGTATAAGAAAGTGCCAATAAAAAAATTTAAAAAGAAAGATTTGTGAATGACAGGCATTGCTTGGAAGAATAGTAAATGGCTATGAAGAATGTAAAAGGTGGTACTATCTCAGGAGCATGATTCCTCAGGGGCTGGCAGTAGGGCTCTGGAAGTACCATTCATTAGGAATTGAAAACTGTGTATTGGGGCTTAGTACTAGAGTGCTTGCCTAGCGTGTGTGAAGCCCTGGGTCTTTCCCACCACTACAAGACATCAACTACTCTACAGACCCTTTTCTGGGGCATTCTAGTTATGGAGGATGGAAGATTAATCCAGTCCCTACTTGAGAAGGGCACAAAAGAGAGAAATATTGTTTCAAGAGGAGAGATAGAGGAACTAGTAAAGGGATTGAGAATGACGTTCTAGAGGGCACAATGGAAAGTTTTTGGGGAGAGGAAAAGAGGCAAAAGATCATTATCTGGTTGCATAGAATATGTGTAGTGATGAAATATATAGTGATTGAATAGAATATTTATAGTGGTAAGAATATATAGTTTGAAGGATTTTTTTTCTTGATCTAATTTGAAGGCCAACAGTCTTGATTTTTGAGTAGACGAGATGGAGAAAAGAAAGAAGAGCCCAACAACAAAACTCTTGAGACTAAAGGTTAACATGGGACAGTAGGCAAGAAAAGCACCAAAATAAGCAGGCCAGATGTAAAGATAAATTGTCTTGTTTTTTCCATATCTTTACTAGTCTTTTTGTCACAAACTTTTGCATTTTATTTAGGTCTCCCAAGAATCTCTTCTTATCTAAGTCGAAGTATGGAAGCTGTCAGCAGGACCTTAATAAGAAAGAGAGAGTGGGAATTCTTCAAAGTGAGTAGTAAAGATGATGTGTCTCTAAATGATCCAACCATTGACTTACTTCACCACTGTAATAAAAAATACATATTTTGGAAAATCAAAGCACCGAAGGAGCTAAATGTTAAAAGTTTGAAGTGGTGTTTAATTTACAAAGCTATAATTCTAGCTTAGAATTCTTTTGCTATGGTAGTGATATTACTTGTCTATCATAACTATATTCAGGAACTTCAAATAATTACTTTTCTGGAACAAACAAAGTCAAATCTCATTATTCACAAATGTTTATATTCTATAAAGACAAGAGTGTTGAAATAGCAAATACTAAATGAATTATTACCCTTACAGGAAATGTAGGGTTAGATTCTTTTGGGCCTTTGGTCACAACATTTTTATCAGCTGATCAGCATGTAACCTTGTTTTAAAGAGTATTTCTATTTAAAAATATTTTATCGTCAATCCATAAACATTGAATTGGTGCCAGCAGCACTGTAATGATTGCAGCTTTTGTAACACATGCATTTTCTGAAACCTAAAGTACACTATAGGCGCTTGCACTGGGGAACACCAGACAGTTTGGGTGCTCACCTCAGAGCTTTCCCACTAAGCTATTATCCCCTGCCCTTTTTAATTTTTTTTATTTTGGGACAAAGTCTTAATCACCAAGTTACCCAGATTGGGCTCAGACTTGCAGTCCTCCTCTTCAGCCTCCCAGGGTGCTGGGGTTAAGTATGCACAAGCATACCCAGCTAAGTGGGGACAATTTTAAACAGCGAAATGGCCAACAAAAAGCACCAAAATGCAAAAACTGTGTTGCTAAACCAATAAAAAGAAACTTAACTACTATAAGCATTAAAGTAGACAGAATGTTACCTTTTTAACCTCAGCTATGAACATTATATCCAGTGATTCAAATTTTTGTCACTTTGTGCATGTTCACCAATGATTCTGAAAGTGTCATGAATATGGACTTTGGAGTTAAGACAGATTTTAGAAAATATAAGTTCATTCTTGGTATGTACTCATTTAACATTTATTTAACCCACATTATATGCTAAATACTGTATTAATGCAGAGTTTTAAACCTTATAGATCCAAACCTAAAATCATTGATCAGAATAAAAATGAGATATAATGAATTTAGGTTTATTTTCTATGCTCATAAGGTACCAGCTTGATGCTAAACATATGCTAAATAGGCCTATGCTTAATATTATTGAACAGCTTTATTTATTATAACTTATGACTAGGGACATGGCCACTTTTAGTAATATTTGTGAATACTGTATAGCGGTAAAACACATTCATAGATATTATCATCACTCCCACTTTAAAGATAAGAAAACAAACAGTGAAATTATTTGCCTAATGTTGGTAGATTCTAAAACTGGTTTTAGAATCTATTGCTGCAAAATGGCTAGGAATTACAGTTTCAAACTATAATTATATTCTTGGCCTTTTAATTTCATAGTACAAAATTTAAGGAACAGTTAACACAGACTTGCTGACACTCTACTTACTCAGTAGTTAAACTGATGAAAACCATCAACTCATGGCACAGTGGCTGACAGTGTGGCTATTGATTTATAAGGTCTTGTGAATTTCACCACATTCTTGACCTTTTTCTAATATACATTTTTTTTATAATACTATTTGCTTAAGTAGTATCCAAGCATCCTTTCTTTAAAGTTTTGTCTGCGAAAACTTTTAATTCTTTTCCAAATGTACATTTGTGGTACTCACCTTGATAGCACTTGTACAAAAACAAATTTGTGTTTTGTTAATTGACATGTGCTTAGGAACAGAATAAAGTGATTCAGAAAAGTTGAAGGAAAAAAATCATCCACATCCCTGGTATGCAGAAAAAGTGCATTTGGCAAAATTGTGATTACTGTTTGAGTTAAAAGTTTTTTGTATGTAAATGCATTTGAATCCTCAAAGCAACCTTAGGAGATCTGTAAACTTTTTCATGCCCATTTTACAGATGTGGAAACTCAGGCAAAAAGAGATTAAATAAAATGACTTTGGTTACACAAAACTTGAGTCAGAATTTGAAATCAATCTTTACTAGAACCCATATTCTTGATGTCTGAGCCAGAATTGGCTCAATAACAATGGATAGATTTAAAGCAAGTAAAATTACGTGTTAGAAAAATGTTATCCAGTTACATGTGAGAGTATAAGTCTGAATTATTCGATGAATTTTAGTATATGTGCTGCCGAATCAAGCACTTGATAATTTTATATAAACATAATTTTACAAGAAATACATCATTACCTACCTGCATGATCTCTTCAATATCAAGAACAGAGAATGTGAAATACTTTGAAAAATTGGATCTAGTTTGCTTCTGTACATATATATACAAACTTTAGGCTGGTGGTTTTAGGGACTCTTCCAGCAGTCCCTATTTTTTCTTGGTTATGTTTAATATAATCAAGGCTATTACATTGTTTTAGTCATGACTTCTATAAAAGTTTAACCTTAAATTGATTTATTCTTCATGAATTGTTTGACCAAGCATCCTTCATTCATTAGCTCCTCATTTTGATAATTTTTTAGGTTGGCTATTCTTTTTTGGTGCCTTATAGCTACTATAATTTGTTGAATTTTACATGCACAAAATCAATTCTTTTTGCTTAAAAAGAGATTAGCCTAAATGAAATGCTCTGTAGAAGGACTTTTTCTTTTTTTTTTTTGGTACTGGAGATCAAACTCAGTTCCTTGTGCTTACGGGATGGGTGTGGGTACCACTCAGCTAAATTCCAGCCCTAGAAGTACTTCTTTTTTTTTTTAATCACAACTTTGCAAGCATTAATTTTGAGTGCTACCCTAGAAAAATCTGATATCAACCTGACTTTTCCTCTTTTTGTATATGAGTTGCTTTTTATTATAAATTTTTATTGGAAACAGGAATTTACTAAATTCTCTGCACTGAGTTTGAACTTGTGATTCTCCTGCCTCAGCCTGCATGAATACTGGAATTACCGGTGTGCACCACTGTGCTTGGCTTGCTTTTTCTTCTATGCCCACATTTTCCTAAAATGTACATTTAGTGCTATAGATCACTCTATACTCTTTTATTTGTACCCTACAGTTTTTTTAATATTCACTAGTACATTTGCTGTACATGTTGAGATATTCATCATGGGGTATTGGTGCATGTGCATAATGCATTTTAATTCTATTTTTCCTCTTCTTCCTTTCCTCCCTTTTCCCTCTGTTGCTAGTTCCCCTTCCCATTTGCAGGGACTCCTTCCTATTTTGTATTATCTATATTTTTATTTTGCTCTTTATTTATACTTTGAGTTTCTCATGAAAAATGTATGCAATGTTTGTACTTGTGTGTCTGATTTATTCCATTTAACAGTGTGATCAAGGTGCATCCCTTTTCCTACACATGACTCAAATTTATCTCTCTTTATGGCTGATAAGTATTCCAGTGTGTGTATATGAACTATTTTTTCTTTTTTCATCTATTAATGAACATATAGGCCACATCCAAGATTTAGATATTCCAAATTGTGCTGCTGCAAACATGGGTATTACGTATCACTGTTATATGATGTCTTTACCTCTTTCAGGAAGATACATAGAAGAAAATAGCTGAGTCTGATAGAATTTATGTCTTTAATTTTTTGAGGAATCTCCATTCTGATTTCCATATTGGTTGTACTAGTTTATAGTACCTCCACAATACAGAAGCCCCTCCTCTAGTCTCACCAGCATTTTTTGTTATCTTATTTCTTGATGATAGCCATTTTTTCTGGAATAAGATGAAATTTCAGTGTTGTTTTAACCATTTACCAGTCGAATTATTTAAATACAGAAAGACCAAAAATTGCATTTTGTATTAATTTTTATAAGATAATATAATAGGAAATATAAAAACAACAATTTTATCAAATTCAATAATTTTTCATGTATGGTTGGCATTTTGCTAGCGCATATGAGTGTATCTCATGAAAACAAGAATAGACTGGTTGAAATGACACCTGCCTGAGTAACATTCAGGGGAAACTGTTAGATTGTTAATATGCATTTCTTTAAAGGCCGGAAATTTTGAACATTTTTTCTTATATATTTAAAGGCCATTTATATTTCTTCTGAGAAGTATCTGTTCATTTTAGTTCCCCATTTTTTTATTGAGTCTTTTATATTGGGGGATCCAATTTTTTGAGTTCTGTGTATATTCTAGGTATGAGTCCTCTGTCTGAGGAAATGTCAAAATCTTCCCATTTTGTAGATTGTCTTTTCATTCTGTTGGTTTTTTAGTTTGCTTTACAGAAGTTTTTTAATTGGATATGATCCCATTTATTGTTTCTTGGTATTATATCTTGTGTGATTAAGGTTCTGTTCAGAAAGACCTTGCCTATGCCTGTATCTTGCCTATTTTATCTTCCAGCAGATTAAGTTTTTGTTTCCAAATAGATCTTTGATCTATTTGGATTTGAGCTTAGTACATAGTGAAAGATATGGGTCTAGATTCAATCTTCTACATATGCATAGCCATTTTTCCCAGCACCACTTGTTAAAGAGGCTGTCTCCCCTCCAGTGTATATGTTTTGGTCCCTTTGTCCCAGATGAGGTATCTGAATGTGCCTAGAATTGTTTCTGCATCCTCTGTTCTGTTCCATTGATCCATATCTGGTTTTTGTTTGGGGGAGTCAGTCCAATGCTGTTTTTATTTCTGTACCTCTATAATCTATAACGACATCCAAGATTGTGATGCCTCCTGCCTTGCTCTTGTTGCCCATTATTGCTTTTGCTGCTCTTGCTATTCTAGGTCTCTTCTGGTTCTGTATGAATTTTAAGATTGTTTTCACCAGTTCTGTGTTGAATACTATGGATTGGGATTACATTAAATCTGTGTATCAGTTTGGAAAGTATGACCACTTTAATTACAGGTTCTACAATAACAGTATATCTTTCCAATTTCTGATGTATTCCTCGGTGGCCTTTTTCAGAATGCTGTAGTTTTCCGTGTAGAGGTTCCTCACTTCCTTGATTAGATTAATTTCTAAATATTTAATTCTTGCATCTTGGCCTTAGTGTAGTTGTGCTGATATCTCATGGAAATGCAATAGGCTGAAGTGGGTGCTATGTGTTGTTTTTTGAGACAGGATCTTCCGATGCGGTTCAGGCTGACCTTGAATTTACTCTTGTAGCTAAGCTGGCCTCGAACTTGCAGTGACCCTCCTGCCTCAGCCACTTGAGTGCTAGGATTATAGGCATGTGCCACCACACCCAACCAAGGTAGATGTTATGAAGGAAGCAAGTTTTATTTTACATGAGGAGCTGAGGCTAAGGGCTGGTATATTTTAAGTAGGCTGCAAAAACACCATAACAAATAGCAAACTAGTATCCTCTTTAGGAGAGAGCAGTTCCACAGTGGTCACTGATTTCCTTCACTGAAGTTGCCTGACTGACTATAGACTGTACAGTGTCACAAATGAATAAGCCTTGTACATTAAGCAGGAACTGCAGAAATGCTCAGGACTTGTGGTAGACTACCTCTGCCAACACAAAAACTTTTAGAAGAATCTTGTTAAGTTATACAAAACTCTGCTGAATTTTTTTTATTTGAAGCTGTATTACAACATTAGACCATTTTGATACAAAATGACAATTGTGTCTTCCTATTCATAAATATATAGCTATAGATATATCTATACATATACCTATATATGTATAGATATATCTATATATATATATTGCCTTTTGTATATTGGTCTTGTAGCCAACCTATTTTACTTACTTGCAGATTCTTTTCTCTATGCAGTTACCATCTTTTTATAGTTATAGTTCTGTTTCTTATCTGTTAGATATACACATTTATTTCTTGGCTTACTAAATTGACTATGAATGTGAAAGGAGTAAAGAGCCAGGCATACTGTGTATGCCTGTAATCCCGCACTCGGAAGGCTGAGCCAAGAAAATTGCCAAAGAGTTCAAGGCCAGCTACATAGTTAGCTACATAGTGAGTTCAAGACCAGCCTGAATTACATAGTGAGACCCTGTCTCCAAAAAAAAAAAAAGAAAGGAGAGAAGAAAGTGTTGTGCTTGACATAACTGTCAAGTATATATAAATATTTTTACAAGGAAACTTAAATCCTTTGTGGATTTTTTTGTATGGGTGGGTGAGCGGGTGGTTACTAGGGATTGAACTCAGGGCCCCAACCCTGAGCTGGGCTCCAACCTTTTCATCTTCCTTCCTTAGCCTCCCATTGTGTTGAGAGTATAGACATTCTTCACCAGGCTCAGGGAGATAAGTTTTTTTAAGGCATTTTAAAAATCAAGGTATAAAATACTCCTCTGATTTTCAGCAACTGTGATCCTCATATCATACGCTTCCAGATTTGAAAGAAAAAGTTAGATATGTGGCGTTCTTTTTCTTAGAATAGGTAAAAAGATAAATAGGAACTTCAAACCTATTGCAACCTTCAAAAATATAATTCCTCATTTTCATTTAATGTGAAACAATTTTTGATGGTATCTTTTTAAATTTTAGGTGGAAGGAAGAAAAACAGAAGAGGTACTAAAAGATCTGCTTCAACAAATCAACCAGTAACTCATGAAAAACAGCGACATAGGAAAAAACAGGTATTTTGTATTATATCTGAGTAATACTCATGAACATTAAAGTTATAACAGTACTTTTATCATATATAAGGTGAAAGTGACATCTACATTACAAACTTTTGTATTCGAGTCTTTCTGATAGGTCCAATTTAAATAGGATCCTCTGTACTTAAAGAAAATTATACCCTTTAATCAGAATTTTTTCAAGGTGGGTTAATTTTAGAGTTTAATGCATTTGTTTCCATTCTCAGTGAGTACAGTCCAATATCAAAAACTACTCTTTGATGTATTTCCTATTTTTTTTTTAAATTGTTTACAGCAGATAAATAAGTCTGGTCTTGTTATTCTATTTTGTCTAGAACTTTTTACTTTGAGGTACGTTTGGTTTTCCTAAGCTTTTTGCAAACGGTTCACATTGAGTTGTGACAGCTAACAGAAAGTTGCAGGCTATGAGGGACTAAGGTTATTTTGGCCCTGATTTTTCCCTCAATAACATAACAAGCAGTTCCTGTACATACTGTTGGTCTGCACGGTCCCCTGCAGCCCTGCCATCTCTGCCTTTGGAGCAGTAATAGGTGGAGGAGAGCTCCTGCTACTGCAGACAGGAGATTTAGAGAACACTCCAGGGTGTGCACCTCTGGAGAACTACGTACAGGGGCTCTGTGAGAGCTGAAGGCAAAGTGTATACTGCTTCTTCGCATCCTGTTACAGTTTGCATTGTTGATGCGGCAGATACATGATCGACTGGCTACTTTTCCTTCCCCTCTCAGATGGGGAAGTGGGGGTGGAGTATTTGATCATCACTTTGAAACCTGGTGGGCCTCCTGTATCTCTTGGAAGTGAGACTCTAAAGAGTACTGGACCCCTAGAGTTTTTCATTCTCAAGGTCACCTACATTGAGCCTTCATCAGCTCATTGGCCACAATTGTTCCTACCTGTGATGACTCCAGCCATGAGCTATTCCTGGCTCTCTGCTCCCAGTAAATCCTGCGCTGCTCTCAGAATCCTGTGCTTCTATCTGTGTATATCTAGTTTTCAGGCAGTTTGCTCTTTGACATTAATAAGTTTATATTTTCTGTATTCAAAATAAAATTAATCTATCAGAAACTGTGTAATCTGTGGAATATAGATTTGTATTCTGTCATTGTCCTGTGCCCAAAAAAGAGTTTTGTGGATGTAACCAGCTCCTGGTTTCATTTTTCAGCAGTCCACTCTTGACTTTTTGATAGGAACCTTGATTCAGGCAATAAGTTATAGACCTACTTTGTCTTGAGGTTTGGAGTTCTCTGAAAATTTTTTAATTGCAGTAATTCATGCTTAATTGAACAAGTTTTTCTTATTTCATTTGTCTGTTAAAAAGACAAGTGGTTGTACCTGTCTCATTACAGTTTAAAGAGGTTTATTTTTATAAATTTATTCCATCCAGGAAGAGAACTAAATGCCATTTAAAAATGAGGACTTTTTCCGCATAAAGAATCTGTAGTAGAAATTACTATAACAGTATTTTACTATAAGTGATACCATTTTGAAGCCATTATTAGGCATTGTTTTTTGTCATATATGTTATATAAGATAATCATAGGAAAGAAAAAGTATGGTGTGTTTTAGTTTGTTGTGTGCAGCTGTTAGTATAGCTGTGGTTATGCTTTGTTTTACTTTTGATATTTCAAGAAAAACAAAAGATAATAAAGTAAAAAGCATGGGTTTTATTTAGTTTATATCTTGAAATGTATCCTGTCATTATGAATGAAATGCAGTACAATAAGTTAAACATATAAAATGGGCTTTTTGTTTGTTGTGGTGCTGTGAGTCAAAACCAGGGCTTCCCGCATGCTAGATGAGCACTGTACCTCACAACTAGCTACACTCCTAACCCATTAAATGGCTTAAAAATGCAAAAATGATTCTTATCTCATAAGCTATAAAAACTGATATACTGTAAAAACTTGTTAAACTGATCTTCAGTAGGAGATCTACTCGAAAGTACTGCTTAAACTTGGTGCATCTAGAAACCTCCGTAGAATTCAAGCAGATGATTTATTCTTGAGAGGGGGGAAAGACTCACCTCACACATCTCTGTCTTTTGGTCTAGTTTGGTTTTGTTTTGAGACAGGGTCTCACTGTAGTCCAGGGTGGCCTTGAACTTACTATGTAACCCAAGATAGCCTTGAACTCAAGATTCTCCTGCCTCAGCCTTCTGAATGCTGGGATTACAGCACCCCTGGCTTCTCTTTGACTTCTGTGTCTGTTAATGACAAGCAGTGAGGCTTTGCAGGATTAGAAGTTGAGTGAGTCAGTAATAGACAAGCATAGGAGGGTGTCAGTCTTTGTCTAGAGACTGAGTAGCCAGGAACTTTTAGGCCACATAGTTGGTGATAGGAGTGCCATAGACAAGCAACAGCAAAAGTGGTATAGAAGAGAACATTCGTTGGGTTAAAGTCACAATATACATAAACAGTAAGGGCATAGGGATGAGACTTACGGCAACTCCAACTTCCACATAGGCTATGGTTTAAGTTCATTGAAAATTTTTATGGTATTGAATCATCTATAGATATGTTCACCTTCTTGAGTCTCCTTGAATTTTTCTGATATTGCATCAGACACCTAAACTGACTTTTTCTTTAATTGTAGTAAAAAAAAAAAAAATGTAATACTTACCATTAATGATTTCAGAGTATAGTTCAGTAGCATTAAACATTCATATTATTGTTCTACCATCACCATAACACTACCTATTCACAGAATGAACTAACTTGCTTACTTTCTTTTTTTTAGTGGTGCTAGTAATTAAACCCATGGCTTTGTAATGCTAGGCAGCTCTATACTGAGCTGCATTACTGCCACCCCTCCCGTTCTACTTCATAATTAAATGCTACTCTTCTAGGCACCTCATATCAGCAGAATTACATAGTAGTTTTTGTGTCTACATTTTTTTACTTAGTAAAACGTCCTCAGAATACATCTGTGTTATAGTATGTGTCAGAATTTCCTTTTTAATAATGAATAATATCCTACTCTATCTGTATATCACATCTTGCTTTGTTCATTTATTCATGCATTCATCGGCACTTGTTGCTTCCACATTGCAGCCATTGTGAATAATGCAACTATGAACATGAGCGTCCTAACATCTTTTAGAGTCCCTCCTTTCAGTTCTTTTACATATATGCCCCAATTAGGAATTGCTGGATTATATGGTACTTTTATTTTTTTTGTTTGAGGCAGCTGCCGTATTTTCCATAGTAGTTACATCATTTTTACTCCTCCCACCAACAGTAAACATATGGGTTTCATTTTCTCTGTATCCCCAACAATTTCAGTTTGGTTAGTTGGTTTATTTTGGCTTGGTTTTTTGAGACAGTGTCTCACTGCCCATACTGGCTTCATATTCACAGTCCTCCTTGTTTAATCTCCCAAGTGCCAGGATTATGAGCTTTTTTTTTTTTTTAATACTGTGAGGTGATAAATTAGATTTTCTTTAAAAATGTGAAAGTCTGCTGGGGTACTTCTTCTAGTGCAAACATAGTAAATAATCACTCTTATGGTCAGATATCTCCTTTTTGCATGTCATTAGAAGAGTTAGTCACTTGTAGCAATATGTGGATTATATTTTGTTTTTTAAAAATTACAGTTGCTTCCTCCAACATAAAATGTATGCCTTAAATTTATGTTGAGTTTTTGAAAATCTTTTAGAGGACTTGAGTTTTATATCCTGTGTGTACTTCCCCCAAAATAAACAGAACAGGATTTTCAGAGTCTATTAAAGAAGTACTAAATATTTATGAATTATTTAGAATTATGAAGGAATCTATTACGAATTATGTAAAAGGATTAGTAGGAAGTATGAGAGCTGGGTGTGGTGGCATGAATTTGTAATTTCAGACTCTAGGAGACTAAGGCAGAAAGATGGGAAGTTTGAGCCCAGCCTGGGCAACTTAATAGGAGACTGTCTCAAAAACACAAAAGAAGGGTCAGTGATTTAGCTCAGTGGCGCTGCACCTGCCTCACAAGTGCAAGGTCCTGAGTTCGATCCCTGGTATCAAAAACATTTTTTTAAATAAAAATAATAATGGGGTGAAAGATGTAGCTCAGTGTGGAGGCCCTATGTTCAATCTGTAGTACTGTACTTCTAGCTACATAGGCAGGTAGTGTGAGCATAAAGCTGAACAGCTTGGGTGCCAGGAGCTCTGTCACTTTCTAGCTTTCCCATCTAACTGTGATTATGTAAAATGAACAGTGATTACACTAGAAATTTGTGTGATAAAGATAATATCTTTTAAAAATCTAAGAACTATATAAATTCTTCCTTCTTTAAGAAATTATACTCATTTTTATTAAAATTAGTTATATTACACCAGATATGTACTTTTCAAAGAAATATTTGTGTGAGTAACTGTTCTACTTTTTATCAAAAGCCATGGCTTTGGGAAGAAGACAAGAATTTGAAATCGGGTGTGAGGAAATACGGAGAGGGAAACTGGACCAAAATACTGTTACGTTACAAATTCAACAACCGAACAAGTGTCATGTTAAAAGACAGATGGCGGACCATGAAGAAACTAAAGCTGATTTGCTCAGACAGTGAAGACTGAATGTGTTTGTCAAAGTTTAATAACAGGACAGTTAATATTTTGATTACTACATTATATTTGAAACTTGCTGGTTATTGATGAATATTAAAACTGTTGTTTAAAGCATTGTTTTTGTGAGCCTAAGTAATGAGGATGTGTGCTGTAAAATTATATGCCATCAGCTTGTTCCTCAAGAATCTGTTTGATAAAATGTAAATACACCCTACCCAAATCTAAGACCTAACTGCCAGATTGTTTCAATAAAAAATTTAAAGCTTTATAAAGGGAAAAAAAATAGTTCTGTTTACCAAAATAGTTCTGTAGGCTAGCCTCAGCCTCAAAGATACAACATAAAAATGATTTTCTAAATAATTGAGTAGTGATAGTCCTGTGAGATGAGATGTTGATTTACGGCTTCAATGTATTATTTAATTCTAAGACATTTGTTAGTAGAATGATAACTACGCTGAGTAGTTGAGTTTTGATATGCTTAAGTTTTTCTTTCCAAGTTTTATGTTAAGGGAAAGACTTGCAAACAGTAATGACAATAGGACAGTATTTGTACTCTTACCAAGAATAGCTTTGTGTTTCATTTAGGAATGAGTTCATATATATTTATATTTAAGTATTAAAACTTTAGTAAATATAATTTTCAATAAAGCTTTATAACTTGATAAGGGTCCTCTGATATTTTGAATTAATAAATCAGTATTGGGCTTAAATAATATTCTGTAAAGGTTTAATTTTGTATGAACTGTGATTATCTTGACATCTATAAGTAACTAAAGGTCAGGGCTTACTAAAAAGTTTTGAGTTTTTACCAACAATTTATTCTTTGAACAAAGACTCAATTATTTAGCAGTGAGTTATAAGCACTTTATTTTGCAAATGTTTGAAAATATTAAAACATTGAAGTATATACAAATCATACAATGATATTGTATTTTATAGTCTCTTCCTTTTATGTTTTCTACATTCCTTTCCTGAGTTTTTGTTGCCCATGAATGATTATTCTGTGCTTCATGACGCAGTGTATCCTGTTGCACTATGAGGTACTGTCAGTGTTAAGCCACAGCATTGAGGATTGATGCCAAAGCTGTCATCGTGAGTCAGAACAGACTTGTAAGTCAAGCTCCTTCTTAAGTTTTTATCATTTTCATCAGATTTAGGATGCCATTAATTTTAAGATGTGCTATTATTTTGTATACAAATTAAAAAACACAAGCCAGATAGTGGTGGGTGGTATACACTTATAATCCTGCACTTGGGAGACCAAAGCAGGAGGACTGCATGTTCAAGTCCAGCCTAGACAACATAGCAAGACCCTGTCTCAAAAAGCCAAAAATGAAAAATCACAATGAATTATAGTATGATGCTTTTTATTAGAAATTTATTTAACTTACTAAAAACTATTTTAGATTTATTTAAACATAACATTTTTCCATCTAACTTTTGTATATTTAAAAAGAAAATTGTAAGCACACATATTCTAAAACATTTGAACAACCAGGGGAATGCTTAGTGAACAAACTACTAAATCATGATTAAAGAGTTCTGCAGTTTTTTCTCATTCACCTACAACCTTTTATTTCTAGCTTTCTAGCTCCTAAGGCAACAGCCTATGTTCCTGGTGCAGCTCAGTGGTGCCAAAGACTATAGTGCAGATCTTGCCTTCACAGAAATGTGTCTTGTGCACTTTGATTTGGTTGTTTCTTGAAGTTCAGGTCAGAGCTCTTCCTTTGTTTTACTCTGTCTAGGCTGGACCAACTTCACAGGTAGTATTAGAAGCATTTAAAGATAGGCTCCCTGCAGCAACCTGAGGGTAGAGGCATTGGACGGGGCAGACAGACCAAAAAAGTCTGGAGTAGTTAGGGCTTCGATATATACCACCGAGTCTGGAAAACCACACATAGTCAAGGACTGGACACATTTTCACTAACATCCTGAGAGGACTTGAGACCTGTGTCTCTGACTTAATCTTTAGGAGGCAAAGGCCTAAGGGACAATTATTAGTTTGGCCAAGTGTTGAAGGAGTGCCCTGATGCTGAGTCTGCAAATGTGAGCAAATTTTTTTTTTTTTTTTT